CTTCCTTCATCCTCTCTTTTCCTTCCTTCCTTCCTTCCTTCCTTCCTTCCATCCATCCATCCATCCATCCATCCATCATCTCCCTCCCTCCCTTCCTTCCTTCCAGAACCTTGCACAATTTAAAATTACAGATGCATATGAACTACCGTGAAAATTAAAAACAAATCAAAATGTCAAGATAATTATATTATTTTTGACCAGAAACAGGCTACTTCAATAGTGTTATCCTGACCATATGCTAGATCTTCTTTTGTATATGTGGTGGGGCATCAATTGCATGCACACAAGTGCTGCATAGATTGAATTTCTCCACAGTCACAGAACGTTTGTCTTATATTGAAATAGCCCCATCTTAATTATTCTTTAGCAATTCTTTTGATTATTAAGTTGCTGTAACACTGGTTTTTGAGAGGTACAGGTTGTTGTGAGCCTGATTCAAGATACCTGTTTTGACTTTGCACTTTCATGTAGATTAAGACTCAAATACCTCCAAGGTCACAAAGATGGGGAAAATTTTCTTTTCTGAATTAGAACTCCCAGAATCCCCAGTCTAAGCACTGTCTCTCCAAATTTCTTTCCTATCTCTGTAAATCTAATTCTTGTTATAGGAATCTGCCTGTGTCTTAAGAGTTTCTACAGGAAACTGTTGGTGAGATACCTCCCACCTATTATGCATTAATGTGGGAGAGAATTTTCTTACATCATCTCCATTGATAGATAGCTCAGTGGTTTAGACATCTGGGTGTGGAGCCAGAGATTCGGAGTTCGATTCTCCACTGTGCCTCCTTGACAGAGTCTGGGCTTGATGATCCATAGGGTCCCTTCCAGCTGTGCAGTTCTAAGATTATATACGTTTATAGAAGTTTGACTTGAGCCAGTTGTACAATCCCTTTGGTGTCATCATAAAACCTTTCTGTTTGCTTGGTTGTTTTAGCTGGTTCGTTTGCCCATTTACATTTTACTGCCTTTGAATTGCTTTATTATCTCATGGCGTTTGCTTTTTGTTGTACTGGGATTGCATGAGCATTTCACCATCTTGTTTTGTGTGCAACACTTATCTTTGGATGAAGGACAGAAAAAAATTGGTGGTGGTAATGGGAACAATAGTATTAGTATTAGTAGTTGATTGACAAGAAATACTGTAAATGAGGTATTTGCATGGGAGCCAGAGCTTTGTGAAGAAAAGATGCTGATCATTTTGGTCGTCTGCGAAGGTTTAGTCTTTGCCTACCTCCTTGCAGAGGATATGGTTTAATTTTCTTTTTCAAAGCACCTTTTAACGTGTGCTATTGTGTTATAATAAAGAATGCAGTTCCTAAAAGGCAGGGACCAGCCAAATGGGAAAATGAAATCTTATGAACAGAAGAACCATCATGAAGGATCAATTCCTGTCTAGTCTAGCATTCTCCTCACAGAGTGCCCAACCGGATATAAAATAGGACAAGAGGGCAAGCGCATCCTTCCACGGTGTTCCCCAGCAGCCAACATTAATAGGCATTTTACTGCTTCTGATACTGGAAGAGATGTATAACCAGCATAAGCAACAGCCATGACAATAACATGCAGAAGAAAAGAGCAGAAAATTCACCCAACTGTGGCTTAGGATTGGTTGCCTCTTCCCTGCAAAATTATATTAAGTCAGTCACTAATTAGAACAGGTGTCACATTCTTGGAAGAAACAAGAACAAAATTTGGTGGGCCCACTTCTGTGTATGTTGTCAGCATTCATGAAAGAAACAAAGGAGTGCCAGGTAGCTAAGACGTTTTCTGGTTTTCTTTGTAAGAGCTATTTTCTCATGGGTAAACTTTCTGAAAAATAGTTCATGCCAAATTTCAGTTTGTCCCTGAAAAATGGTTTAAGTGCCATCCCAACCAGAATTTAATCCTGGTTTCTGAATCTGGTTTGCTGGATGAGTAGAAGCCATACTTGCTTGATTAGATAAGATGATAAGCTGCGGACAGGATAGGTCCAAAACATTTTGCTATGTAAGATCTCGCAACAGATGAAAATATCTTTCACCTAAAGCAGGATGGATAGTTATGCACCTTTAGATGATTTTTGGCCTATAGCTTCTAGCATAAGTAACCAGTAGAGACAGGCTAGGGCCCAGTTCAATGGTAGATTTACTTGTACCTGTACTGAAAGGAAAAAAGAGAGAGAGAAAGGACGAGAATTGACAAATGCAAAAGGATGACAGTGCTCATAAATTGAAACCTCATGCTACTCATTCACATAACACAAAATCATGATTTGGAATAATGTCTGAACCATCTTTATATTTCCCTTGAGAGTTTCTGAAGATCTCAGTTACCTGCAACATATGCTTTGGACTGCTGTTAATGACATCGAGAAATAATCAGAACTTAAGAATTTGTATAAAAATTGAACATCATTATTATAAAAGTGTGCTGTAAATCTACTCTATTAATAATTTATACAGTGGTGCTTCGCTAGATGATTAGTTCGATTCTCCACTGTGCCTCCTTGACAGAGTCTGGGCTTGATGATCCATAGGGTCCATTGGAATGCATTGAAACCTGTTTAATGCATTCCAGTGGGGAAGAATCGTCATTGTCTAGCGAAGATCGGCCATAGGAAAGCCGCTTTGCGAACCGCCGATCAGCTGTTTAAATCACTATCTTGCGAAGCTTAGGTCCCGAAAACACCTATTTTGTGAGCGCGGAGGGAGCTGTCAAAATTGTCGTCTAGCGAAAATTGGTTTGTGAAGCAGGGACTAAACATTGTCCAACGAAATTTCCCCATAGGAATCACTGTTTTGCGAATCACTATAGCAATCGCAAAAAGTCAATGTCTAGCGAAAAAACTCATGCGGGGTAACTGTCTAGCAGGCACCACTTTTACTTTAGATAAAACTATGGGGGTAACTGTCTAGCAAGGCACCACTTTTACTTTAGATAAAACTACCGACCATAGTGGTTTTATTATGTCTCACATTGGGACTATATGTGGAAATAACAGCATTTCTGACTAGACTTCCTTCAGATATTAAATTATGGTATTTTTCTTTCTATAAGACCTACTTTTTCCTAAAATCATTACCCTAAACAGTTAGGGCATTATAAACAGAAAATTTGTTTAAAAATAGTGTTGTGCATTCAGGGCGAGGTGGAGTTTGATATAAGACCTACTTTTTCCTAAAATCATTATGAACAGAAAATTCGTTTAAAAATACTGCTGTGCATTCAGGGCGAGGTAGAGTTTGCAACTAATTATCTCAAAAGCGAGAGCTCTTAAATTTGAGCAGATAAGTTTAAATTAAGTAAAAGTCCAAATACCAAGCTGTGTCTTTTTGAAAAATTCTTAAGCATGATCTTTTGTCCCAGTTTTTCATAAAAAGTCATAAATTTCTCAGTCGAACACAGGAAATTAACCCTCATTGGATTGGATATGTCTGAGTATATAAAGAATTCTAAATTAGTTAGCTTTGTTGTTATCCGCTTCAGAAGTATCAGCATCCAGCAGATATTGCATCTGCATTTAACAATCTACAGAATGTTGCAGATAAAAATTATTTTGTTTGCATTTTTTATAGTTTAAAAACCCTCAGAGATTTTTGGAATTCAGCATCTGTTATTTATTCAGTCCCCCCCCTCTCTTTTAATATGTTAGTCTAATGAAGATTTCCACAATCTCCAAAGCTTGCACATGAATGTATATAGTTCAACCTAACAAGGAGATCATCCATATGTTGGTTTTCGATTTTGTTTCAGAAACTGTGATCATTACTTCTTTCAAGTAACCTCTTTATGGGACATTGAGAGCTCCTTCTGTCCCTAAACTCTTTTCATTCCAGATTGTCATTTTAAGAATGTCGCTTCTTCCTTCCTAGCACAGGCAATCAAACCAAGAAATCTCTAATTCACAATAGTGTCCCATTTATCCAAACTGGAAAAGTGATAGAACAAGTCAGGATATTAAATCAGTTTCAAACTGTGGCTTAATAACTTTGCTTCTTCTAAAGGAGGAAAACATTATTTTCTGTCTCAGAGAAAGAAATACTGTATTTTTGCACCATAAGACTCACTTTTTTCCCACAAAACGGGGGTGGAAAGTCTGTGCATCTTATGGAGCGAAGAAAACAGATTATATTTTCCTGTTTTCTTCTCCTAAAAAATCGGTGCGTCTTATGGAAAGGTGCGTCTTATAGAGCGAAAAATACGGTAATACAACTGTAGTCCCACCTAGTGTAGATTTACTTGAATCAGTGAGATGTATGTTAATAGCTATAGTCCAGTAGTAAGTCACAATTAGAGTAGGCCCATTGAATCAGTAAAATTTACATAGGTGTTGATTCACCAAATCCACACTGATTCAGTGGGCTTGGTCTAGTTATGACTTACTGATGGATTTCAGTGTGAGCTAAGAAGTCTCATGCATTAGTGAATAAAAATAAATTTAGCCTGAAGTATAGTTGATGAGAGGAAGGGTAAGGAAAAGGTAGATTTGGATCTGCTGCTTGATGACTGGGTGGTTTGTTTCTGTCTCCCAGTTGTCATCCAAATGAAAAAACTAAAGCACTCTTAACCTCAGGTTAGTATGATTTAGGCAAAAGAAGAAATCATTGTCATTGTAGCTAGTTCATTGGAAGCTGGAGACTTTTGTTTATGTACTGCAAATGTTCAAAGATCTACCTGTTGATCCCATGATGTGTTCTACTCCTGGATTCTGATCTACCTTCCTCTCCTTGCTTGCGGAAGCCACCAAATTACACCATCAGTAGCCAGTATTCAGCATTTTTGAAATCTCAGTGGTGGTAGTTGGGTTTGAACATTTATTTCCTTATATAATTTATTCTCATAAATTTTTACTCTGTAGTGACTTGTATATTTCTTTCAAGCAATTCTATATACTTTCTTGTGTTCTGTCTTCAGGTCCAACAGCAGCAACAACAACAACAGCAGCAGCAGCAGCCACCGCCGCAACAACAGCAACAGCAACAACAACAGCAGACCTCAAACAAGCGTCCTAGCAACAGTACCCCTCCACCAACACAACTGAATAAGATCAAGTATTCAGGGGGACCCCAGATTGTAAAGAAGGAGCGACGGCAGAGCTCCTCTCGTTTCAACTTGAGTAAAAACCGGGAGCTTCAAAAGCTTCCTGCCCTTAAAGGTGAGAATGGTGTTTTCCCACAGGTGTCCCTGCCAAATGAGAGGAAATTGGTATTTAGAAAAGAGTGTGTGTTTTCATTTGTGGCACTTCATTCAGAGTAGGGATGTACAGTAGTGCCTCACTTAACGGGCGCCCCGTTTAATGATGAAATCACATACCGGGGATGTACAGTAGTGCCTCACTTAACGGTTTAAATAGGGAAAAATCGCTTTGCGATGATCGGTACCCTGTTTCACTTACCAATCATCGCATAGCGATGATTTCCCAACAGCTGATCGGCGGTTCCAAAATGGCTGCCGGGTAAAAAAAATGGCCGCCCGCTGTTTTCTGGGACGGATTCCTCGCTTACCGGGCAGCGAAAATGGCTGTCATATGGAGGATCTTCGCTTAAAGGTGAGTTTTAAGCCCATAGGAACGCATTGAAGGGGTTTCAATGCATTCCTATGGGTTTTTAAAAATCACATAGCGACCAAATCGCTTTGCAGCGATTTTTGCTGCACCGATTAACGTCGCTATGCGAGGCACCACTGTAAATCCATTCATATCTCATCCTTATGGTGAAGATTAGGAATCACCACTGTAAATCCATTCATATCTCATCCTTGTGAAGATTAGGAACGCCAGCGTTCTTCTCTTGGCTTTTGATAGTGTTATAATATTGGCGAGAACAGTGTTTTGTGCAATAGTGTCCCTTTTTTTTTTGGTACCTAGTGAAGACTTTTTTGTTATTATAGACATTGTGAGAACTATTGTGAGTGCTTTTAACTCTCACCACTCATTTTTCCTGATTGTTTTACTTCAGTTCTATATGCCATATTATTTTTTATATTCACTGCTGACTTTATCTTTGTCTTCTATGTTGTCTCTATGAATTGTTTATGGCTTGCATTTTGTATCATTAGGGTTACATATCTGGAGAACCTCTGTTCTCAGGAGATTTTAATGTAAAAGGAAGCAATAAATTTGTTCAGGAACCTTTAGGTTTGTGAGCTATGGCTAGTTAGCTGGTGTGCCGCATTTGAAGGTTCTTGCAGTTAAAGACAGGATTGATTCAGTAATGAGTCACTATGACTCAGGGACTAATTGCAGTGCTGAGGAGAGACCATCTCTGAAGTATGGGAAGACATCAACACTACATTTCCTTAAGCTTCTCTGTGATTTTTGTTTGTTTGTTTGTTTGTTTGTGGGGGCAGATAAAATAAGCCATCATAGTTCTCCTTCCATGGTGGAAACTGCACTACATTTCCTTAAGCTTCTCTGTGATTTTTTGTTTGTTTGTTTGTGGGCCAGATAAAATACGTCATCATAGTTCTCCTTCCATTGTGGAAACTGCAAGTTGGCCAGTGTTTTCTCTGCTATCAGGTTCTGGGTTCTGTACCAGGCCCTCCCAAATTCCAACTTACTCAACAGTGCCTACACTCAGGATACCTTCTGCAAAGGACATCACTTGCCACACCCTTGTTGAAAAGCAAGGAAACAAATGAAGCATATGAGGGGCACAGACATCAAGTCCAGGTGAAAACCTCTAAGGAAGTCTTCAGAAACCTGTGTGCATGCAGAGTTCCTTAGGGATGTCTGTTCAGAGATGGAGAAAAAGTCACTTTTTTGGTTTATGGTACGTAGAATATCTCAGCCAATAGAACATATTGGCAAAAAGTAACTTTTCTCATCTGTGGAAGCATTTTGCTCACCAGTGAACTGATTTGGCACATTCTTGCTATAAATTGAAGACTTAGGTGTTCCATATTTGGGAAGACGGTGGATTGTCTCACGCATCATAAGGTAGGCTGGTAGTAGCAGCATCCCTGTAGTAAGAGAATAGGGTGATAAAATTCTCTGGAAGCATGGCTTGCTTGACGTCTTCCATAACTTGGTTGAACTAGGATTGTCTTAGCACATGGTTGCATCTCCTTAACTACAGCATATATCTTTGGTGAGCTTGCCTGGAACAGAAGGGACCATAAAGGGCTGCATCATGGGAGCAAGAAGGGGTCATGCTGGGCTAATACTATAGCTTACCGGTAGAGTCCATGATTTGCACACACAAGGTCCCAGGTTCAAACCCCATCACATCCTGGTTGGGCAAGGAAAGAAGCCTGCTTGGTACCCTGACTCTGGAGTTCCCAATATTGGGCTAGGTGGACCAATTGTCTAACCAAAGCTTGGAAAAGTTAGTTTTTTAAATCTGCAACTTTGGACTCCCCTAGTTAACATGGCTCTGCTAGCTGGGAGATTCTGAAAGCTGTATCCAAAAAGGTATCTTTCCCATGCTCTGACTCTGTAGCTTCCAGTGTTCCTACAATAACATCTTGGCCAATTTGATGGTTTCGAGCTAATGACATGCAATAGGCTTCTTGGTACAGAAAAGAGACTCTTTCCCCCTCCCTCTGTCCTCTTCCCCTCAGATGCACCTCCTCATGAACGGGAAGAGCTCTTTATACAGAAGTTACGGCAGTGCTGTGTCCTCTTTGACTTCGTGGCTGACCCGCTCAGTGACCTGAAGTTCAAGGAAGTAAAACGGGCAGGTCTTAATGAAATGGTGGAGTACATCACACACAACCGGGATGTCATCACCGAGACCATTTACCCTGAAGCTGTTATCATGGTGAGGACGAACCTGTTTTCTAGGTGTTATTCCTGGAAGCAACATCTCAAAAGCAGGAAAGGGAGGGGGGGAATGGTCAAAGCTGAAACCCACATTCATTGTGTTTCTGTTAGAAATAGTTTGATGGAAGGGTCGCCATTAGGCAGCTGTGCGAAGTGAACATTAGCTGCAGCATTGGTCAGTGGCTGACAAGCTGAATGTGACTATTCATAGGGTGAGAGATGGATTGTGCTTAGAATAAGAGCAAAATTTGTCTCACAATAGACTCTTATGGATTTGATTTTGCATGACGTGGGGCATTTCTTGCCTTCCTGAAGCTATGAGTGGTTTGGTGAACTTACTGTCATCATGCATCATCAAGTGACTTTGAAGTTACAGTGACCCTACGGATGGATGAGCTTCAAAAAGGTCTTGTTGTGAACTGCCCTGCTCAGATCTGGCAAACCCGAGGCTGTGGCTTCCTTTACTGAGTCAGTCCATCTGACTCAGTGGCGCAGTGGTTAAAACGCTGCACTGCAGCTAAAACTGTGCTCACGACCTGGGGTTCAAATCCCAGGTAGCCGGCTCAAGGTTGACTCAGCCTTCCATCCTTCCGAGGTCGGTAAAATGAGTACCCAGCTTGCTGGGGGGGCAATGTGTAGCCTGTATAATTAAAAATTGTAAACCGCCCGGAGAGTGCTTGTAGCGCTATGGGGCGGTATATAAGTCAAATAAATAAATAAATATTTATTTATATATATAAATATATATAAATAAAATTTGGCTTTTTCGCCCTTCTGCCTTCAACTTTTCCAAGCACTATTGTCTTTTCTAGCAAGTCTGGTCTTCTCATGAATACTGTATACAGTAGCCTTAGTTTAGTGATCTAGACATTTTTGCTTCTAGGAAGAGCTCAGGCTTGATTTGATCTAGCACCTATTTGTCTTTCTGACGGTCCATGGTATCTGTAAAGCTCTCCTTTAAAGGAACACCATATTTTAAGTGAATTGATAGCATTCCTATTTAGGTTTCACATCTGTACTTCGTAACTGGCAATATCATAATACAGTGGGGTCTCTACTTAAGAACGTCTCTACTTAAGAACAATCCAACTTAAGAACAGCTCCATTTGCTAAATTTTGCTTCTACTTGAGAACAGAAATCCAAGATAAGAACAGGAAAAAAAAAACTTTCCTGCTCTTTTTTTAAGGTCATCTTAGGTTAAAAAAAATTCTCCCCCTAGTGGTAGAGTACTATTAACCAGCTTTGAATTGGTTCCTATGGGAACTAATGCTTCAATGTACGAACGCACCTCTACATAACAAAAAAAAACAAAAAACAGCCAGAACGGATTAATTGGTTTTCAGTCCATTCCTATGGGAAATTTTGCTTCAACTTAAGAACGTTTCAACTTAAGAACACCATTCCAAAACGGATTAAGTTCTTAAGTAGAGGTTCCACTGTAGTTTCTATGGACGGAAAAGAGCAGATACGGATTAAATGGTTTTCAGTGCATTCCTATGGGAAATGCAGATTCAACATAAGAACTTTTCAACTTGAGAACCACCTTCCAATACGGATTAAGTTCTTAAGTAGAGACCCCACTGTAGCTGGGTGGGCATATGGGGAAAACTTATGAGGTGTATTGGGTAATTGGTCTCCTAAAGAGGAACTGGGTCACGTTGTTTATTTAGTCTGCAGAACCCTCTCAACTTCTTGACTGCATATCTTAGTTTTCAGTGAACCTCTTCCGGACGCTTCCCCCATCATCCAATCCAACGGGAGCAGAGTTTGATCCCGAAGAAGATGAACCTACACTGGAAGCTGCTTGGCCTCACCTCCAGGTATTCTTTTATTGCATGTATATGATGGTGGCTGGATAGCTCAAAGCGTTAGGTATCTAGCTGATGAGCCACAGGTTGGGAGTTCAATTCCCCACTATGCCTCTTGAGAGAAGAGCCAGCCTGTATGGCCTTGGGCAAGTTGCACATTCCCAGGGCACCCCCAGGAGTGTCAAACCACTTCTGATTATTGTCTACCCAGAAGACCCTGAAAAAGGGTTGCCATGTTTGAAACAACTTGAGAGCACTGTTGTTGTTATTGTTATGTGATGCTTACCTTCCATTAGAAAATTCAGGTAAATAATATTTTGGGGCACTTTGCTACCCAGGCTGGCTTTCCTTTAGCAAAAGTGCTACATCCTGGTGTGTTCTGTGGGTCGATGGAGAACTAGCAACTTCAAAGTGTTGAATGTTAGACTACGAGTGGGGAGAGACCAGACTCAAATCTCACTGAGTGACCTTGGGTCTTACTTACCTGGTTGTTGGAAGGAGGTATTTGACAGAAAGGTGGGATATAAAGGCAATAGTCCGTTAGGTGTCTGTGCATGACAGAGAGAGAAATAGCAGACCGGTGGTCAATGTTTCTAAGCAGAAGCTTTGATGTTGCTAAACTTCAAAGTAGCAGAGCATGCATGAATCTAAGTCAGACCTGGGCAAAGTGCGGCCCTCCAGATATTGCTGAACTGCAAATCCCAACATTCCTCACTTTGTGGGCTAGGCCCAACTTTCCTCACTATTGGCTGTGTGGGCTAGGAATTATGGGAGTTGCAGTTCAACAACATCTGGAGGGCCGCATTTTGCCCACCCCTGTTCTAAGTAGAAACTTTCTAGAGACTGTGTAGACTCTAGGGCAGAGGTCTCCAACCCCCGGTCTGTGGCCCAGTGCCGGTCTGTGGCCTGAGCTGGACCGGGCTGCAGAGACAGACCTCCCCCCCCCGCATGCACTCCCCCCCCCAGCTTGTTTTGGGGACTGCCGCCCCCCTGAAAAATGAAATCGCCCCCTGGGGGGCATTATTGCCCACGTTAAGAACCACTGCTCTAGGGGATGTAGACCTGCCATGCCATCACTTGAACAAGTACTAGGCAGAGGTAGAATCCTGTTGAGTATCTGCAAACATCCCACCTGGACTGCAGTCATCTGCCCAGTTACCAGGAAGCAAGTCTCTTTGAACCGGTAAGACTGCTTTCTACCAAGTAAACTTTCATAGTTAGATTGTCAGTTCCTTTGTGTTGGCATGAAATGGCTGCTCCAACCAGTATGATAATCCAGGCCTTTTAATCCTTGAATTCAACCCCTGCCGAGAAGAGTTGCCTAAATTTCCACCAACTTTCTTTCTCAGAGTTCTTGTGACACATCCTGTCCTTTCACTGCCTGACAAAAGAAAGATAAAAGCTTTCTCTAGAGACCATCAACTCAGCTCCTCTTTCCAGTGCCAATCGACAGTCGTATCGCTCTGATACTACATATTTCCTCCTCCTCTGTCTTTCAGAGCTTTTTTACATATCAGTGATGGTCTTATCCCCATTCTGTCTTGTCTGCCATCTTGTCATCTCCTTTATCATTTTGAAGACCTGTCACATTAAAGCTGTAGACTGCTAAAAGCCATTCTTCCTGGCCGTTCCTTACTTAGAGGAGAGTTGACTCAGTCTGTACAGTATCTCCACATAATCTGGAAGCCTCACACTTCAGAAATTTGGGTTGCTTCAAGAAGCTCCATGGATGGAGATGACTCTCACCTTCTGGTTTAACTCTTCACATGTGGAGAGCTAGGATAGCAGGGCTTGTGGGTGGGTGGGGGATGGGGAAGGCCAGCTTGCTGTTTCTCTGGCCTGTACCCCTCATAGAAAACCTAAGTGCGGCTTGGAAAGGGGGGGTATCTGGTTTCAGAGGGGAAGGCGTGATCCACAGCAGGCTCATCACTCAAGCAGTATGTGCATCCACTGGCCAGGCTAGCTGAAGGGATTCTAGGAACTGACGTCTAAGAATGTAACTTCTCTGGAAGTATATCTGTATTCAGACAAATTTATAAGCCTTGCAAACTTCACTAAATCTGCTTTTAACTCAAGGAAGGAAGAGCTGGCGTGTCTTGATCCACAGCTGGCTCATCACTCAAGCAATATGTACATCCACTGGCCAGGCTAGTTGCTGGGATTCTAGGAACTGACGTCTAAGAATGTAACTTCTCTGGATGTATATCTGTATTCAGACTTAAATTTATAAGCCTTGCAAACTTCACTAAATCTGCTTTGAACTCAAGGAAGGAAGAGCTGGCATGTCTTCTTTAGAAGCTTGCTGTGCTGGTGTCACAGTTGCTTTTATACTATAATATTGAAGTCCCTGAAAGTTTCTCTGGACAATAGCTTGCCTACAACTTTGTGCTACTGGACAACCACTAATGAAACAATGTTTTCCTCATCCCGTCCTTCTCCGCAGCCACATGTACCACTTGAAAACCTCCAGCTCTAAGTTTTGGGAAGCACAGAGACCTGTGAGGCAGAGTGCAAATTGCTGAACATTGGCCAAAATTGTGCCTTCTGAAATGGGAGGGCTGCTGTCCCTATAGTTTGGCTTTTTCCTCTTTTTTTCCCTATTTCTAGACAGATGGTGTAACAGTCACCTTATACCTCACAAAGGGACCGTTACGTCACACTCAGTCACTCTTCGTTTCCACTGCCACCAACCATTCCCTCAAATAAAGCTTCAGGCCAAAGTATGATTTCAAAATAAAAACTTAGGTTTATTGTATACAAACAAAAGGAATGGTAAATCACTTGAATATAAATAATACTTTAATCACTATAATAATATAACAATCACCCACGCACTCTCACAGAGCCTTACTATGTAGCACAGTAACTCCAAGCCCTATCTCCCTATCTCAACCCCATCTCTAAGCCCTATCTGGCCCTATCTCTAAGCCCTATCAGGCCTCATCTCTATGCCCTATCTGGCCCTATCTGAATCTCTCACACCATTCACTCCCCTTATATACAACAGCTCCGCCCCTTATGTCCCACCCTCTGTCACGCCATTGGCAGATGACACACAGCTTCAGCAGTGACGGGCAGGTGATGTCATAGCTGTTTGTAACAGATGGGCGGTGCCAATAGGACTAGATAGTGTCACAGCAATAGAAATGACAGGTGTTGTATTTCTAAATAATCCTTCCTTTTTTCTCTCCCTCCTTTCTTAGCTAGTGTATGAATTCTTTCTGAGGTTCCTGGAGTCACCAGATTTCCAACCAAACATAGCTAAGAAATACATCGACCAGAAGTTTGTATTGTCAGTAAGTGGTTTTATAGTTTCCTTCCACATTGTGTTTAGACCTGCTTCACCTTTGGTCTTGAGCTGAAATAGGAGGCAGGTCTGATGGATGAAAGTACAGAAGAACAAACCAAACGTTCTTGTGAGAACTTATAAGTGCAGTCAGGATGAGAACTGAATATCTGAAGAAAGAGTCCATGTGGTGCTGGCTCTTTGATTTTGCTGCTGTTTGTTTGTTCATTTCAACAGCAGTTGTTCTGCAGAGTTCCATGCAAACCACACATTTCTTGCCTTTGGTTTTATTTTTAATCTTACCATTGTAGATGACCAGCATTTTGCATCTCTGATAAAAATCTCGAGTTGTTGGCTTTCCTTGCAGTGTGACTGTTTGTGTAACTATGTATATATAGTTATACAGTGGTGCCTCGCATAGCGAGGTTAATCCGTTCCGGATTAACCTTCGCTATGCGAAAACATCGCTAAACGGGAATTAAAAAGCCATAGAAACGCATTGAACTTCGTTCAATGCGTTCCTATGGCTTTAAAACTCACCGTTAAGCGATGTTCCTCCATAGTGCCGCCATTTTCGCGCCCTCGGTAAGCGAGGGCAGGGCACGAAAATGCGGCGCGGACCTTCCGGCGGCCATTTTGGAACTGCTGATCAGCTGTTCTCCCCGCTTCGCTCTGCGAAAATCGCTAAGCGAATTGCTTAGTGGTCATCGCAAAGCGAAAAAACGCTATAGGGGCCATCGCTGAGCGAACGCTCCAGCGATGGCCCGGACCCCCTCGCTATGCGAATTCATCGCATAGCGAAGCACTCGCTAAGCGAGGCACCACTGTATATGTTTTTTTAAAAAATGACCTGTGGTGCTAATGACTCAAAAGTTAATTTCTTCCTGTGGATGAAGAATAAAGTTTGTAAAGTTACTTCATTCCAATTGCTTATTAGTGGCCAGAATCTTGTTGCTGATTTATTAATTCCATAAGAGAAATTGCGTAAGAAATGGCAGCAAATGGTGATTCATTAAGAAGGTTAATCGGCTTACCAGAAACACAGCCAGCAGTTTTTAAAGAAACAACCGTTGCTGCAACTTAACACAATTTCCCTTGTCCAAGTCTAAATTGGCAATAGGGTTCTAGCTGCAGTGTTGTGAAAATAATTCATTCCTGTTATTCATGAGAGTGTTTCTAAGACAAAAAAGAGCGTCGTTAGATACTCAAAAGTTAATTTCTTCCTGTGGATGAAGAATAAAGTTTGTAAAGTTACTTCATTCCAATTGCTTATTAGTGGCCAGAATCTTGTTGCTGATTTATTAATTCCATAAGAGAAATTGCGTAAGAAATGGCAGCAAATGGTGATTCATTAAGAAGGTTAATCGGCTTACCAGAAACACAGCCAGCAGTTTTTAAAGAAACAACCGTTGCTGCAACTTAACACAATTTCCCTTGTCCAAGTCTAAATTGGCAATAGGGTTCTAGCTGCAGTGTTGTGAAAATAATTCATTCCTGTTATTCATGAGAGTGTTTGCAAAAAAAAAAAAAAGCGTTGTTAGACGAGAGAATGGAATAAAGCTTGGAGAAAGTCTTGTCACTGTGAAAGTGCCCTTTAAAAGTAATTTTAAAAGGTAATTAGAGAATATTTCTCATTAGATCAGTGAAGTAACTTTGTCGCCACTTAAGTAATTCTAGAATTTAAGTTCATTCTATCTTCATCACTGAAAAAGGGGAGGTAGAGCTCAGTAGAAGCAACTAGGTAAAGGTAAAGGTTCCCCTTGACAATTTTTGTCCAGTCGTGTTCGACTCTAGGGGGCGGTGCTCATCCCCGTTTCCAAGCCATCAGCGTTTTGGTCCAGTCGTGTTCGACTCTAGGGGGCGGTGCTCATCCCCGTTTCCAAGCCATAGAGCCAGCGTTTTGTCCGAAGACAATCTTCCGTGGTCACATGGCCAGTGCGACTTAGACACGGAACGCTGTTACCTTCCCACCGAGGTGGTCCCTATTTATCTACTTGCATTTACATGCTTTCGAACCGCTAGGTTGGCGGGAGCTGGGACAAGCGACGGGTGCTCACTCCGTCACGTGGATTCGATCTTACGACTGCTTGGTCTTCTGACCCTGCAGCACAGGCTTCTGCGGTTTAGCCTGCAGCGCCACCACGTCCCTTAGTAGTAGAAGCAACTGTGTTCTTTGAAACTCTTTACTTCCACGTACCCTTTCTCATTTAAAGCTGTTCTCTGTGTTCAGATGTGTATTGGTGTGTGCGTATGCAAGCTCCTGGTAGTTGCGGTGACTGGAGTACGTATGTAATTGGATACACAAAAGAGTTACAGTTTCATGTACAGTGCAGTTCAGGAGGCACCCTAGCTTCAGATGTTGCCTGTATGTGTTGGCAAGATATACACTCACACCTCCACGGGATGTCCAGCTTGTTAAGAAATCATCCTGTGATTTTAGGACAAGCACAAGTTTAACAGTCCAGAACAGCTTTTAATAAATCAAAGCTACATCTAGACGAGCCAGATGTTGACTCTGCTGATGCCATAGTCTTCAGAAGGTGAAATGAATGTAAAAAGAACTGCAATCTGGAGGCACTCCTTTGTGTGTCCCTGCTCAAGATGCAAAGGCTGATAGAATCTTCTTTCTGCAGCTGCTGGATTTGTTTGACAGCGAGGATCCTAGAGAACGGGACTTTCTGAAGACCATTTTGCATAGGATTTACGGGAAATTCTTGGGCCTCCGAGCCTATATACGAAGGCAGATCAACAACATATTTTACAGGTAAATATGGCTTACAATGGTAATCTGAGAACTGCAGAACTGGAAGGGACCTTATGGATCTTTGAGTCTAGCTGCTGTCAAGGAAGCATCTCAGGGATAGAGCAATTCCTCTTCCTTTCTGGGTCATCCTGAATACAGACCCCCTTTTCATATGTACTCTTCTGTGCCTTTCCTTGGTCACTATATTTCTTGCCCAGAAACAGGCAGCTTGGTGTGCATGGGCAGTCTAGTCTTGACACTAGAATAACGTAAGCAAATATATGAAGTCAGAGTCTCCTGGAACAAAATGCAGACCTCTTTATAGGTACAGTGTATGGATCAGCCAAGGCGGGGCAAGTTATTTTTTTAGACTACGGCTGCCCAAACCCACCAGCTATGCCACTGGAATTGTAGTCCAGAAATTCTGGAATTGTAGTCCAGAAAAACTCCTTGTCCAGGTTCTGAATTGCTCTTATGAGACCAGTTTCTCAGTGGCTACATTTTGTGTTTGATACTGACTTCTGTCTGTTACAGGTTTATCTATGAGACGGAGCATCACAATGGGATTGCAGAACTGCTAGAGATATTAGGGAGGTGAGACAAATTTTTTCCCATTCTGACGGAAGTTCCTTGGCGCAGGCATCAGTGGCGATTGCCCAGACAATTCTGTGAGATTTCCATTTTCTCCTCTTGCTAAGAGTTGTTTCTAAGAAAGCATGGTATGAACTGTGCAGCTAAGTCCCTGAGAGCTTTGCAGATGTTTCCTGCAGGATATCCTGATGTTGTGGCAACAGCAAGGTGGAGTTTGGGAACAGCATTGTGTACACACGCATGCACAAATCCTGGATGTTGATAATTCTTTTTTTCCCCTTCTCTGCAGTATAATCAATGGATTTGCTTTGCCCCTGAAAGAAGAGCACAAAATGTTCCTTATCCGGGTCCTGCTGCCATTGCACAAAGTGAAATCTCTCAGTGTTTACCACCCCCAGGTAAAACATTAATTCTCCAGCCAAAACTCTGCTCTGGGTTCAATCCCGGGTAGACAGCTCGAGGTTGGCTCAGCCTTCCATCCTTCCCAGTTGGTAACATGAATACCGAGCTTGCAGAGGGACGGCATTTGTAGCCTGCATAATTAAATTATAAACTGCCCAAGGAGTGCTTTAAGCGCAGTGGGGTGGTATGTAAGGAGCATGCTTTGCTTTGCTTTTTTAATTCCATAAAATGCATAACATGAACAGAGGAAAAGTTGGAATTGCCCTTTTCTAGTGGATTACGCTGTGGGTCAAGTTCTCCCCATTCATAGTCTGAGTGCATCTTCTAAGTTGACCATATATCACAGAAAGTCTGTTCTTCATCAGTTCTGGATCTATTACACACAGTTTCATTGAGTGATCTTGGGTTTTAGGGTTAAGAGAGAAAGTAAGGCATATCCCTCTTTGTCTGCGTCTTTCAGATTTTTTTTGGTTTGGTAAGTCCCCCTTTAGTCATCTTTATTTCTCCAGATTGGGGGCGGGGAAGCTTTGAATGTTTCATTTTTTAAAAACTCACAAGAACTTTTTCGTTAGAAAATGCTGAGTTGCCTTTTCCACCGAATTGTGCTTGCCCAACTGCAGGACCTCTTTCCTTGCTAATCCGTGCTGTTTCAAATTCTGTATGTGAAATGTGGAGAGGCAGTGTGGTATAATGGATAGAGTGCCATAGGAGGACTCGGGAGACACGGGTTCAAATGGCAGTGATAAACCACCCCTGGCAGTCTCACATACTGCAAAGAGTCAGAAGTGACTTGATTTCACACAACATGATTTGAAATTAGCACATCAGTGTAATGTAATTTAGTTGTCCTAGTATGTTCTGTTTCATATGTTCATTTTCCCCATCCACATAGTTTGGAGATGTTTCTTTGGATTTTCACCAGCCTGAGTAATTCGGTAACTTTGGTGTTCACCCCACGACTTTAGATTATTTTGCCATCATGTAAACGAGTTAGATGGCCTGGACGGGCACTAAAGTGGCACAGGAGCGATTATTGTCTTTGAACTTTTTAAATTTATGAGTTTATTTGACATTCCAGAAGTTCCCCCCTGGATGCTACACTAATGACTGCAGGACTTTTGTTCATAGAGTAGTACTGTCTTGGGTCCAGAATAGGCGATGTGTAGGGATATGGAATCTTGGGATGTTCTGGACTACAAACAGCATAACTCTTGGTTTTGGGAGTTGTACCAACTTTACAAATACTGAAGTATTATGCACCTGGAAGAAAGGGCTACATTCGAAGGCTCTGAAATTTAGTTAGGCCTAGTTCTGCTCGAGCTTCGTGCTCAGAAAAAAAGCTCGGGTATCACTGAGGCAGGTGTGACAAACCCAGACCTACTGGGATCTCTCACACAGTTACTAAGCTGCCACCAACCATTCCCTATAATAAGTCACACAGACCAGGGATGGATTTTTAAACAACAAAAAGAATAAGGTTTATTTTAAATACAAACAGGGTAAATAAAACAATCAGGTGAATAAAATAAAGTAACGTGGCTTATTCTCACACACACAAGCATACAGTTTGGTTCACCTAGAACCTTTAACTTAAAGCACAGACCCTGAACCCATCAGTTCTGGCTAACCAACAGACCCCTGAACCTTTCAGGCTGGTACTCCGACACACAGTAGTACCCTGTCAGACACACAGACTCCCACAACAGCTTCTTCTTCCCAGCTGCTGCTTCGTCCCAACCCAGTGTCTCACAGTCTGTCTCAGCATCTACCTTCACCACACAGGCATCACATATTTATACAGTACAGCCCCTCCTCCTGATGTCCCGCCTTCCACTCCCCATAGGATGGAACTTTCCCTCCAACTTCCAAATAAATGTGGTATAAGATTGCAGGCTTAGTTTACGGGCTTGAATACTACTGGCAGATTTGATGGTTAGTTTTGGGAAATTGTGGGCTTTGCAACCAAATATGGCTGTCCCGGTATCCAAATCTGACCCTCTGTACTTCTTTAGAGGATCATACACCCTTCCTCAGTACCCATCATTTGGTGGTTAAGCTTTTATGGGGGTCTTTTCCTCATCTCAAATGAAGAAATGACTGTTATAAAGCAGGTTAGCTGGCTAGGTAGCTCAGTGAGTTGCTTACGTAGCTGCAGAACTAGGGGTTGGGAGTTTGATTCCTTCTGAGGCCAGCCTGTGTAGCCTTAGGCAAGCTGCACAGTCCCAGTGTCCTCCCAGAAGAAAGGACCAGTAAACCACTTTGTAGCTAGAAAACCCTGGAAGGGGTCACCACAAGCCAGAATCAACTTGATGGCACATAGTTATTATTCATAAGACCAAGCAACTAACCTTGGGACAGACACAATCTCTCTGCCGGACTTACTTCGCAGGGTTGTCAGGGTAGGAGAGCCATGTGTACGACCTTGAACTCATTGGAGAAATGGTAGAATTATAAATGCAACAAACAAACAAAGCTAACGAAAAAGCTGAAAATTAATGCTTTAGAGACTATGAATAGGCTTGCTGGCTGCCTCTA